ACATGGAGATGATGAGGTACAAGAATACAGCTAGAGGACACCTGATTGCTCTAGAAAGTAAAGGTGCCGTGGAGTGTTACCTGGAAGAAAGGATACAGGGCACAACCATGAAATTCACGATTGGTGAGCTTACCGTGGAGAGCAGTAGTACTACGTCACTTTGAAGAAGAAATGCGAACTACTCCGAAGATACATGCTCTGATAGCAGTTTCGTACGTCAGAACTAAGCTGCAACTCAGATATGTTTGGTGTATGACGGGATTGACGACGGGAAGACAAGGTTCTCTTGATGACGAGTCTGAGAGACCTTATGATCCGTGAAGGAGCGGCGGGAGCGTGTGCGAAACGGAGAGACGCTCTGTTTCGTCCGGTTCACGTTGGAACAAATGTCGGTGCCAGGTCTGAATACTTGTGCAAAAATGCTGAGAGAAGGCACCGAGCTAGCGAACACCTTGCCCTTACAAGCGCTAATGGACATTCATCAAAGCAAGCCAATGCGGGTGAACATGAAAGAACCCGTAAAACTAGAACCATTGAAGAAGATCGTTGAAATCCGAAGATTCTCGAAAAAAGAGCTCAGGCTCACGAAAGAATCAATGGCGATACTGCTGAAGTCCAGTGAATACTGTGGACCGATAAGAAAGAATTCGTACGATTATGTGTCTGGAATTCTTGGAATGGCATATAATCCTTTCATCAATGAGGACATACGTGATTGTTACTTCGATTACGAGCAAGCGGTGGAGGTTCTGGTCGTCAAGAAATTCAACGATAAGGAGCATTGCCAGTCAGCAATTTAAATTGGGACTTGTATTGGAGGAAAAGTGACTACACCTTTTATACCGAAATCAGATAACCGAGTGGAGTTTGATTGGGTTTCTCAGATAAGTTACTGAGAACGAGCCTGATGGTGGTGTTGGAGTTAATGAAACCATCATGGTGCCCGAGTCCAAATGCTGATTCCATATTACGAGCGACGCAGGATGTGCACAGGGAATTAAGTGCAGATTGCAATTTGCGCGACCTCAACGTCATCTACAAATTGATGTCAGCAGCCTCTAAGGGCAACCGAGAGAACAATGTGTAGTTGCCTGGTTGGAATAAAAAGACTGGGACGAACCTGGTAGCTGTCTAGTGAAAGTCTCTGGACTAGAAGGTCATGTGTGTGGAGGTCTCGACTGCATGAAGACACTGGCGAAATAGCACATCCAGTTGACAATACTGTTCGGAAACATAGTAATGAAAGCGAAAACGGAAACAGAACTATTGCTGATTGCCAGGAAGGAACTGAAGTGAATCTAGTGACTGCACTAGGCTTCTACAGCATGTTCTTTAGAGTCACTCATGAATCCAGAACGAAAACAAGAGATGGTCATAGCCATCAGTGTAGAAACGTTTCCGGGAAGGTTACAAACTGAACAGAAACATACTGGGAAACGGAGAGATACAATAGAAGTGGAAATGAATATCAGGCAGAGTGAAACTTATCGCCGTTCGTCCGGAGCGCGATAACTAGTAGGATCGACGTTGGCGCCGATGTGCAAAAGCCGAAACCCAGTACACTTCGTCGCAGTGTATGTAAAGAGTACAAGGATGATCGTAGATCAGGCCTTCTCCGTGACAAAATGTGTAAGACTTGCGAGAATGTCGGAGAAATCTTACGCGTTGCTTTGTAAGATGTTTTCCGCACTTCAGTGATTTTTAAACACACAAAAAGAGAGGATCAACAGCGACGGATTATAATGCAGTAGATGAGACTGATGACTGAAATGAAACCACTACTGGAAGCGTCGGGGAAACGAGATTGGAGAAGCATCATGTTAACACATGATGAATTTCTGTGCCATTGTTTGCTACAAACATGGTGGTATCCCGGGCGAAGTAATCTGGTGTTGATGTGGGACTCTGAAGAGCTGATCTCCATGGGTTTACCAGACTCATCACAGCCCATAACGATAGTGATAATTGGAGTTTTGATGGCAATTCATGTTAAGGATAACAGTCGACAAGAAGAACCGACCAAACAACAGTAAGAGGAACTGGATTGTCTAAAAGATTTAGATCTTTTCGAGACAATGTGCAAAATTTTGACTATTCCGATGGAAGTGAAGAAACTATGGAGACGCCTGATGCCGTTGTTCAGAGCCAACATGACTGCATGGCGAAGAAGTATGCCAAGAAGCATATATCGAAGCACAGCAGAGTGTACATTTCATATCAGATGGGCTTAGGATTGGAAGCTTTCAAGCGAGCTTTGTAATGCATCGGAATGTAGTGACCACCGCAGTGAACAAAACGTCGACAACGGATGATTGAAGGGGGACAAAAAGAAGAATGTTTGAAGAACAGCTTCTGCAGACACAGGGAAACTAGTCTTGACACTCTACCTTGCTGCAAACAAAAAGTAGAAGAGCATAGGCGTTGGAGGACTGCCTTCAACAGCGTCAGAATGGCCACTGATGTGTTGCAAGACACCAAAAACGAGTGCAGAGTTGATGTCACAAAAGGAAGAGATGGATCAGTGCCAAGAAAGCCGGATGACAAGGTGCAAAAAAGAGAAAGATTAGAAGAATTTAGAAGTTTTGGAACCTCTAACTGACAAAAATTAAAAGAGAGAAGTGAACAAAAAAGTGACAAATTAGGAAATATAAAACTCAGAATTGCTCTTGTGCGAGAAAAACTCAAATGAGAAACAAAGCAAATAAGCTTGAAATTGAAACTGAATGAAAGAAATGCTTTTAGTTGTTTTTGTGTTTTAAATTTGTTGCGTTTACAAACTTACATGGTTAATTTAGATAGTGTTTTAAGAGACACTATCTTTTTATTTAGAGAGGCTTGAGTGAAAAGTTTATTAAAAATTTCCAGCCTGCATGATTGTTTCTAATCAAGTAAGATGGCTGTTCACTTTGTAATGACATGAAAGACTTGAATACCACTTGAAGAGGAAGATTGTTACTTCTAACCACCGATTTTTTTAATTTTAGTTATCAGGACCAATAACAACTAAATTTCCGGAAGGAGGAAGAATAGTAGGATAAGTTTCGTTTGTTGGTTGGCAGGAGCGTCCTGTGTCCCAACACTTTTTAAACCAAGGAGAAGCAGTTTCGAATCGAGATAATGGCACTGAAAATCAGAAAAAATATTTTATCTTAAGTCATATCCCCAAGGTGCAGATTCATGAAAAATGTTATAAAGTAATAGCGATGTAGTATGATTTCATTTGTAGCTTGCGGTGAGTCGATATGATGTGGATTCGACAGCGAAGAAAAAACTGAAAACTATTTTGAAATCGAGACTATCCGAATTTCAACGACTGTACTGCTACAATCGTTTAAGAGCAGTTCCCGAGAATTCGGAGGGCTAGTGTGAAGATTTTACTACCCTTCCTGGAATACAACAAGACCGATCTTCGGATTCAACAATTCGGAAGGGTCTTTGGAAGAGACTGAATGTTTCAGAATAAGAGAAGCTAGACATTGAGGCAAAGGGTTGATCCATTTCCGATGGATGTGATAATTTTTATCTTCTGAACAAAAACAATAATAATATGATAATAAGTAGTAGCCCTATTTTTACGGTTGACCTCGTGTTCTGGGGATACTGAGACCCAGCCATGAGTTCAAAGTTTTTGCAAATAAACAAGTTAATTTGCGCAATCTGGCTGATAGCCTTAAAAAGTAACGGCTTTGTCGACCTGATGTTAATGGACAACACATTGAACTGGCTTTTGTAAAGATGGTTAAAAGCAGTCTTTTCATAACCTAGCTTTGTTTTCTGTTGGTTTTTACTTCGGGCGAATGTTACATTTGATCCCACTTTCTCTTGATCTACACTGCTAATTCAAATGAAATGCCTTCATTATTTTTTACAGACTTGTGTCACAACAACAATGCATCCACATCGAATTCCTGTATGCCGTTTAAGGCGACTTTTGATAGAACAGTTTATTCAGGCTTAAGATGTACGTGACAATTGTATGAGACGCAGTGATCTGTTTCTTCAATTTCTAAGATATTGGTTTTGCAGGTCTGGCAAACATTAACCGTTACTCATCTTTAACCGGTGGCAACTGAAGGTTCATTCGGAAAAAAACAAGGGAAGACTTTTCAGTACTGATCAACCGTTGGTACCTTTGGAAAATCAATACCAAGCGTACTCACTGATTTGCTCACGTGGACTGTTCAAAAAATCGGCAGACTGACAATTGTTTGTGTGACAAGTTATCACCTTTGTGTTTCCGGTTTAGTTCAGTTTCGTGTCGTATTTCGAGTTCAAAATTTTTCTCTGACAAGATTTTTGATGTTTTTCAGGCCGTTGAGGTGAATTCTATCAGGTTTAAAGTAGCGTACCTGAAGTAAGGCTACTGACGCCGCATTTTTTCCGCTCGACTCTTGGCTGAACACTCGGTGAATCACTCTCAATTCCCTCGGTGAATCACTCTCACTTTCCTCCCATTCGCGAATACTTAGAACACTCGGTGAATCACTCTCACTTTTGTCCCATTCGCGAATGCTTAGAACAAAAGCGTGTCTTTTGATTATATGGCTGACCAAGTCTGCCAGTTCGATCAGATCTTGGGTTGTTTTCTGGGGAGTGTTACTAGAAGACTCGAACACGTTGAATAGATAGTTGCGACCAAGAAAAAGAGTGATGTTATCGAAACAGCTTTCGGGGGGATAAAGTCGTATGCGTGCCTTATCCCGGCTTCATGGAGTGACAAGATATTGAGATTTCCGGCTTCCTATAAACCTGGCCTGTGAATCTTCGTCAGAGCAGCATTGTAATTTGTCAGAGCAGCTTTGAAAAAATGAAATCTCGAATGTTAAGGCATACAACGAACTTTTCTCTAAAATCTTCCCATTAGAGGCCTACCACACAAGTTTCGATTCATAACAAACATGAAACTATTTAATAAGTTGATAATTCTATTGATATAAGATATGTTGTTAATTTGATTGTTGATGAGATAGTTTATACTTTTTGATAGCGTTGTTTAGTTGGTGGTTTTAGATTTTCGTGATGTCTTCTTCGAAAGTTTTGCACTCAAACTCAGTTTCTTATAGGTCACCAATTGGAGTTATTTCTCTTTGCTTTTCTCATCGAGGATTCCTCCGTGAAGTGACCTTAATGAACCAAACGATCTCCACTGGTTTTCAAGAAAATCAAATTTCAAGCGGACCATTCGAAATTCATGGTCATGAAGACGCGCAATGTAAATGTTTAGAATGGCTAGATGAATATTTCGAAGGGAAAATCATTGATCATAACAGATTGATTGATTTCATTGACATGGGTGATCTCAGTGAATTTTCAAAAACTGTACTGAAAACTTTGCTCAAAAAAGTTTCTTATGGGCAGGTAATATCTTATGCTATGCTCTCTGAATTAAGCACGGGAAGCACATCATCTGCGCGTGCTGTGGGAAATGCTTTAAGGCACAATCCATTTCCAATTTTTGTTCCATGTCACCGTGTTGTAAAATCTTCTTACTTCACCAGATCAAACTCAATCAAAGGTGTAGGTGGCTACTGTGGTCAAAAGTCTAGTTTTGTTAAAGAGTGGTTGATTATGCATGAATCATCTAATGCTGCCGACAAGAAGCCATGAATTTTTTGCCTATGTTTTTTTAATTTATTGTGGTCCCTTGATCAAATATTTCTGTTGTTGGCTACAGGTTTTTTTTTTTCAGATGTGTAATGAATTACGACTTGTTAACCGCAGGCGGATCATCGGGAAACTTAACGAAGAAAGCAAATTCTGGACATGTAAGAATAAATTGTCTCAATGGAATCTATGATATATAGTCGATTACTTAGAATGTGTATGATCAATTAGAGATTATGTTTACAGAATCATACAAGACCCTAGATGTAAAAAATAGTCAATTCTGTTTTAGCTCACCAACGATCTGTTTTCGGCAAATTCAGATCTTTATTCAAATTCAACGACTAATAACTTATTCCAATCGACGAATGATAAAGATCTCCTGTTTAACTCGAACCTAAGAACAAACGGAACTGCTGAAAAAAGTGAATTATTTCTACGTGACAACGGTCCCTCACTGCCCAAAGGAGTTAACTACAAAGACCACTTTTCAAGCATACCTGCTTCTAGGGGTCATCTGAACGAAATTTTTTCATCGGCTGATAAGAACAATCCATCGTATCAACGGCTGTCCGACAAAGAGGTACGGGTGCATACCTCGTGCATGTTTTTCCTAACTAAATCGAAATTATTGAATTTGTGTTTAGAATTTTGGTGCTGCGAACGGGCCCATGAATTTTCTGAACCAAACTAACCGATCTTTAAACTCAGTAAGTAGATTTTGCTTAATCATAATGGTCCTCATAATATTGCGGCAAGATAGTATTTGATTTTAACGACGCTTTACAGACTGCATTTGGAAACGATAGCTCTTCAATTATCCCTTCAAGTGCAGCTGGGTCATTCGGAGGAGCTATGCCTCCTCAAGCTGGTCGGCTGTCGGCGTTTCCCCAATTGTCGCAACAGCAACTGCAAGCGTCTCCGAGTAGTCGGACAGGATTCGGAAGCTCCGTTAGTTCAGTTCCTGGCGGAGGGGGGCAGTTATCATCGCAACTACAGAGTCAACAAAGTGCAGCCTCTTTGCTGTCTTCGTCCGCAGTGGTAGCTCCTGGTCAACCGCAGTCAGGCTCTTCGGTGAACAGGTCATTGTATAATCAACATATGACCACGAATAACTCATCGGGTTTGGGATTCACTAGTCCAAATAGGATGTCTCCGAATAGCAACATGGCGCTGCACCAAGCTAGCTATGGATTCAACTCTGTTACCAAGAGAAGGTAAAGTAACGATACTTCAAATCATGTCTTTTTGAACAAGCGGGGCGTAGTAGAATACTACGAAGCAACTCTTCTTCAGAATCTAAGTAGCAAATTAAAGTGCTCATTTGCTGAATGGTATCTTTCAACCATAGTCAATTTAATAGCATCTACTGCTGTTTTTTGGTAGCTTTTCACCCTTGCGATAAGCAAGACTATTACAATCCGGTACTAGACTTTTTTTTACCGTAAACAACTTTGTCCTCAAAATCTTCACTTCTTCTAGAGGATCTTCACTTCTACAGGACCTTTCACATTTCAAATTTAAATAAAGTACTGTCACTTAAGTAGTAATTACTTAAAGCCCGTCTCAGGTTGTAATTATCTTTTCAAAAAAATTTCTTAATTTTTTCTGGTTTGTGGTTTTCGTCCTAGTTTCTGTCGGTTCATTTTCCGTTTTTTAAACCCTGTTTTTTTATCTGGTAGGGTTTTTATTGGCTCGTTTTTTAAAGCATGGCTTTTGTTCCATATTCAACAGCTTTTATTATAACTGAATTTCCCAATTTTGTAAAGTTACCATGTCTGATTTTGAGTTTTTTTCATTTTTTTTTTTCGTTTTTTTTTTTAGTATTCAAACAGATAATGTTATATAGACTTGGTCAATTTATTTTGCGTGATTTCGAGGGCAAATTAATTCCGTTGGGGGTTATGTGTTTCAATTGGATGGGTCGTAAACACTTCATTTTTATGAATTTTTTTATGTTAGCTAAATTTTTATACGGCTTTGTACATGCGATACGGCTTTGTACACATGCGATACGGCTTTTTTCCCGTAAATAACTTGGATCACGGAATGGGCAAAATTGAAAGTATTAAATTTAGATTCAGATCACAATGATTTCAAATTTTTGCGTCTCACGCACACGTAGTTTGGAGGTAACGAATACGCCTGGAACGGCAAAGGTCCTGGTTTCGAATCTGACAGCCTTGTTTTTTCTTCAAACGGAAATAGAATTGTCGGCTTATTATTTGTCTGCTTATGTTTTTTCGGCTCAGTTGCCAAATCGTTGAATTTTTTTTCGCTGTTTAAAATTTGCTTTATAGTTGCTTTTCAGTGTTTTGATTTACTTCTGCTGCTTGTAATTTTACTAGCCTTGTCTTCATTTTTTTTTTTTTTTCAATTTATTTTTAGCCTAAAAACTTTTTTCCCAAATGGTTTCGGCTGACATTTTATCGGCATAGTGGCTTTACATTGCAGTGTAGATTGATGACAGAAGAAATTGTTCGTGCGCGTGTGTAGATGTTTTAAGGAGGCGAACTGGAACATTTTTCAAATAAGTTGATGCCTTTCAGTTTTTTTGGCCGAAGCGGTTTCTGCTCAGATACTTTCCGCTTTTTCTACCGCTTGGTAAGTTTTCTAATTCGCTGCGAATTTCGAATTCTATTTTCATGGCATGTGTTTTCTGAACTAGCTTTATTTTCTGTGCGATAAGCAATAGTATTACACTCGGGGATTTTTTTCTCGTAAACAATTTTGTTCATGGGATCTTCTCTTTTTCTAGTGCATCGTCACTTCTAGAGGATCTTTCAAAATTAAATAAAAGTACTATCACTTAAGTAGTTATTAGTTCAAGCAAATTTCAGTTTGTCATTATCTTTTCAAAAAATTAAAGGTAGGTTTCTATTGGTGTACTTTTTAAAGCATAGATTTTGTTACAATTTTAACAGTTTGTACTGTAACTGAAACTGTTTTCCTCGTTTTAAAAGTTTTTTTTTTCGTTTTTTTTTTTAAAATATTCGAACAGTTTCAGTTTAAGTTATATCGACTTATTCAACCGCTCGTGTAATGATTTCCACTTACTAAGGGCTGTTATTGAACTTCGTCCGGTACAAATATGATTTTTTGTTGCGGTAATTCTTCATCTTTTGTCGTTTATTTTTTCAAGTATTTTTTCCAGCGTATTTTCAGAATTTTTTTGACCTGTGTTTTTTCATTTACTATTTTGTACCGCAATGTGTGATTTGTATCGCAAGTTGTGCGAAGTTCCGCTTCGTCTGTGTTGGAGCTTTTTTTGCCGTTTCTCGCTTTTGTTTGCAAATCGCATGTTCGCCTTCGTGTAAGAGATATATTTTTTGCCTTCTGTTACAGAGCTATTGGTACAGCTAACCAATGGAATTAACCTGAAATAAGTTTTGTAAAGATGATAATTGGACCGAAGACCGAAAGAGGAGGAACTTTGCCTTCGGGTGTGTTCGTTTTTTGTCTTCCACGCAAAATCAGGTACAACAAATAATCATAGGAAAGGATAGACTGATATATTATGTTAAAGCTACTGCATTCGTGATTCGGATGGACCCTATTTTCAAATGTTCAAAAAATTTCTCAGTGTGGAGAAACCGCTAGAAAATCATTGGTCTAATTTCGAGCGGATAGGCCTATAATACGGAATACTGACGTAAAAATTTAGCTTATTACAAAAATATTATATTTTGAAGCTTCTAGAGCCTTCTTGACATCAACAAAATTCTAGAGAAACGTTTTTTGTAATTTTCGATTTATTTTTTAAGAGTAAGGAACGTAGTGAAGACTCTTATATAGGTCTTGCTGATTTTTGTTTTTTTTTTCAGTAAAAAGTCTTAAAATATTGATGCACTTAGGTATAATGCACTTTTTGAGTTCAATTGAATTTATCTGCTGAAAGTGACGTAAATAGCACTCTCCTAATACGAACGTTGAAATGGTGCGAAAAAACGTGAACTATTTCTAGTTTCGAAATTGGAATTTTATTTGTAAGATTTTCCAGCGGAATAAAAACTTTACCCATCGACCAGTTTTCTCAGGTTGGTTTCATGTTATCATGTTTTTTCATTCAATATTCTGTACCGCAATGTGTGGTTTGTATCGCAAGTGGTGCGAATTTCCGCTTCGTCTCTGTGTTGGAGCTATTTTTTTGCCGTTTCTCGCTTTTGTTTGCAAACCGCTTGTTCGCCTATGCGTTAGAGATATATTTTTTGCCTTTTTCTACCCTTCTGTCAGTAGTCTAACCAACAGAGCTATTGCTGAAGCTATCCAATGGGATTAACCTGAAATAAGTTTGTAAATATGATAATTGGCCCGAACACTTAAAGAGGAGGAACTTTGCCTTCGGGTGTGTTCGTTTTTTGTCTTCCACGCAAAATCAGGTACAACAAATAGTCATCGGAAAGGATAGACTGATATATTATGTTAAAGCTCTTGCATTCGTGATTCGGATGGACTCTATTTTCAAATGTTCAAAAATTTCTCAATGTGGAGAAACCGGTAAAATATCATTGGTCTAATTTCGAGCGAATAAAAGGAGCGGATAGGCCTATAATACGGAAAATTGACGAAAGTTTAGTTAATTACAATTTTTTTTTGTTTGAAATTCATCTGCTGAAAATGACGTAAATAGCACTCTCCAAATACGAACGTTGAAATGGCGGGAAAAAACGTGAACGATTTCTAGTTTCGAAGTAGGAATTTGATTTTTAAGATTTTCCAGCGGAATAAAAACTTTACTTATCGATCCAGTTTTCTCAGGTTGGGTTCATGTTATTAAAAAAGCGCCAATCATAAATTGTTTTAGAAATTCAAAGAGCTTAAAGGGCGTCTATTTTTTCTTTGAAATTCGAAAGAATTTTCCAATAAAGTCAGTGTTTTTTTTATGTTTGATAAAAGTGTTGTTAAATATGCTTATTTTACTCGTACTATCAAGTGTACGAATAAAATTTAGTTTATTACTATCAAGCTTTCGATCATAGCCAAGTGAACAAAAAAAATCACAGTTTTCAAAAAAAAATTGTTATGAAATTATTTTTGTGCTCGGAACTTCCTGTGCAACTTGCGCAGCAACCGGCTATCCTTGTTTTTTCTTTCATATTACTTGGCTTACATTTTATTCAATTTACACTTTCAAAAATTATATTAATTGCCTGCTTTCTCTCTTCTCTTGAGTTTTTTTTGTATATTTGCCTGGAATTGTTATCAAGAAATTATTTTTTGTCTAGTTTAGTTTTTTTTCGCTCCGTAGTTTGAAATTTGTGATGGATTTTTGTTTTAATTGAGAACCAATTCTAACTAGAATGTATATTTTATTATTTTTTTGTCTTTTAGCAATTCGCCATCGGTCAATGTCAACGCTTTCAATCATTTCTCATCCTCCAACGTGCAACAAGCTGGTCGATCTAATGCCCATAGTTTTGGTTCTGTCAGCGTAAGTGTATCAAATAAGTTCGAAGTAATTTTCAACTATCTGGAAATAATTTGAAATATATTTCAGCCTAATTTGCAAAATTCGAATTCTTTGATTCACATCAATTCCTCAATCTCCGGTAAGCTGTCTTTAAAAATTATTTTGTTTTAATATTGTTATTTGGTTGTGATTTTTCTACGAAAGTTTTTTCATTGCAGCTCCAAATGGTCGTGAGCCGGGCTCTCATGTGTCTGTAATTGGAAGTTCGAAGTTGGATCCGCAAGATTTTCCTGCTTTATCGCAAAAGCACAGCAATATGGGATATGAATCATTTCAAGGGCGTGACTATTGTAAGCAATTTACAGCTCTTGATATCAATAAGTGGCCCTGTTTCTAGATTTAATTAGAAATGCCCGTTGTTTAGTGAGTATGTTGAGTAAGATGGGTGGTGAGCCAAGTAGTGAGTTCACGATTCAGAACGAAGACTTTCCGGCTCTGCCAGGTGCTGGTCCAGGCTCAAAAACGAGATCACACGCGTACCAAACAGGGTCTCTCGATGGTTTTCCGACGCACTCCGCGGGGGACGATGGCTCCCAATTCATGGGCAACCAGTCCAATTCCATGTCCTACCGGTCTTCGGCTGGCGATAAACTGGATGGTCAGAGCGGGTCTCTGGAATCTTCCAAGACGGGCATCCAGACGTCAGGCGACGGACTGGTGACAAACATTCCACGTGGCATGGTGACGGACCAATTCGGAATTGTGGGCTTGTTGACTTTCATCCGTGCGGCTGAGAGAGACTCTAACTTAGTGCAACTAGCATTGGGCAGTGATCTGCAGAATCTGGGATTAAACCTCAGTTCTACAGAGTAAGACTTTCGTCGGCGCTTTTTTTCTTTTTCTTTCCTCCGTTTCGTTTTTTAGACCGATGATAAATGTATATCGTGCGGTGCGATCTGAATGTTTGCAGCAACTGTACCGTTTCAGTCTGTTCAGCACATTTCAAAGTCCCTTCGCGGAGACTCCCTGTCGACCCCAGGACATCGACTTCTTCGTGCCCTCTGAGTACTTGACAAATCTGCACATTCGCGAAAGGCTGGCACCTATCAAGCTGAGCAAATACGGCGAGGACACTTTGTTCTACTTATTTTATACAAACATCAATGATGTACTGCAACTCGCCGCAGCTGCTGAATTGTTAGTAACTTACACGACAGCTATATTGACCTCATGCTAAATTAGTTAGCATCTCTCTTCATTGGCACTTAAACTTTATTATTAAGGATAATAATCAAATGTTGTTTGATTGTAAAGTTTTCTCGGGATTCTGCCCGTATTTTAATTCAAACGCGTTTTTGGGATGTATAGATTTTGTTTAACTGTCGCAAAATTCTTTTGATATATACAAAAACGGAGCTAAGGCGGTGATCAGAAGGCCCAGGGTTCTAGCCAATATACCAAATTTTCGTGTGCTGTGCTTTTTCTTTTTTGTACGCGAAGTGCAGTTTCGCCTTTCTTAGTTTTTTGGTTTTTCTACAAATAAGTTAAAATTTGTCTGAAACATTTTATTAAGATAAAGATGATTTATCCACAAGGGAAAGGATCAACATACGAGCGGTTTAGCTCTTAACGGAGAACCGCTATTGTGCCCCTGGTTAAGATAAACATGCACTTTTTTGCCTATTTTTCTGGGCTGGGAAGCGTTGCCTCACCCTCAAGCAACCAGCTCGTTTCAGGGAGGGCCACTTCACCACCGCTCACCATGCTGGCTAAGCTGGTGTCATTTTGCATTGCCACTTCTTTAGTTCGACGCCTGAAAACAATTTTAGCTCCTGCAAAATAATAGAGCTATAATGTATTTATTTTTTGAGTCAATGAACGCTGTTAAGACTCTTATATAGATCGTGATGAATATTTTGATTTTAGGATAAAGATTTACTATTTGATTTTTCGCGGACTTCAACGTAGTTCAGACTCCTATCTACGACGTGATGATTGTTTTGTTTTTCAGGAAAAAACTAAAAATCTTTTCTTTTGAAAAGAAGGCAAGCAAACTCCGCTTTCGAACAGCAAAAGAGTAAAGGTCACGGAAAACGTGATGTACTTCTAGTTTCGAAATTGATTTTGTTTTTAAGATTTCCCAGCTGAAGAAATGATTTACCTATTGATCAAATTTTAAGTCGAACGTATTTCAGATTCTTATTTATGTCGTGATGATTTTTTTTTTTTCAAGAAAAGTCTTATTTGGTTCGGGCTAAAGTTTACTTTTTTTCTGCTTGACTTTTGATTTCTTTGTAAGTTCAGTTCATTTTTGTTGCTAACTGGAAGGCAAGCTCCACTATCAAACAGCAAAAGTGTAAAGATCACAAAAAGCGTGATCGACTTCTAGTTTCGAAGGTGGATCTTCTAGTTTCGAAAGCGGATTCCCCAGCAAAATAAAAATTTTACTTACTGATCCATTTTTTTCTCAAATTGGTTTAATTTTATATTTAAAAGTGTTAACCATAAATTGTTCTAGAACTTAAAAGTGCTCTAGAGGCATTTTTGTCCTTGAAATTGGAACGTTGAGATAATTTCGAAAAAAAACAATTCAGTACCTTTTTTCTGTTTACTTGCGTTCAATGACTCTTTTCCAACTCTCGGTTGGCTGTGTTTGCACTAGCTAGCGCAGTTGTAATTGTATAAATCTGCTTTTTTCGACTTAACTCACAAATAGAAGTGGCCTTTTTTGAGCTTTCAAATTTTCTATTTTAAAATTGTTTCACGTGTGATTGTGGCTAAACGCCTGGTATGAGGTTGTAAGGTATGAAGAACAAATATGTTCTTAATTATTCATTTGTGCACCATGCCAGGTTTCATTATATTATGACTCCGTTAAAATGGTTTTTCAAAACTGAAATAGAAAGCCTGGGGGAAATTGGACTAGATCTATAGAAGTGCTGATTTGGTGGCGCTTTTGCTCTAATCTCGATCTGTGGCATTGGAAATTTCATAGCATATTTTCTCCACTTTCATTTTGGCAAGTGTTTGTTGATTGTTACGCGTCCGTGGCCTAGAGGGGAGTGAGTCTCCTAATGACGTGAGAATCCTAGTCAGAAGGTTGCAGGTTGGAATCCGACGCGTAGCAAAAGTTCTACTAATTCGAGGCTTATTTTTACTTCTTTTTTAGCTGCTTTTTTTGTCGTTTTTTTGCTAGTGTTTGCAAAGGCCAGCTTCACCTGAGCCACAATTTTGGTTAGTTTCATTTAAAAAATGTTATTTTTAATTAATTATGGAAACTGAAAGCGGTCAAATTTTTGTTTCGAAGATCGAAAGCTGAAAATTTTCAAAAAAAAACAAGTCAGTAATTTTTTGTTTCCTTGCGTTCTTTGACTATTTTCGAACTGTCTGTTGGTTATGTTCATACAACTGTTTCATAAACCTGAGCGTAGTGTTATTAGATCAACACAACTGTTTCCTGCGCAAATCAAAGTGATCATGTTAAATGAAAAAAAAATTGTGATTAGTATCCGTCATTTGAAGCATCCTCGTTGCTGCCTGATATCCTAAATTAAAATATTCATGGTAGTTGAAACACCTAAGATGCGATGGGTACGTCGTTGAGGCAAGTGTGATTAGTTCGTGTGATTTCTTATCATTTTTCTGCGGAAAATTGTATCTATTATAAATGATTTTGAGACTTATTTAAGGTAATATTTTGGCAACTCAAAAATTGAAAAATATCCGAAAAAAAGCAATAGTTTTCTGACTTTTGACGAGTCAGAGGCACTTTTCCAATTGTCTTTTTCCTATGACTATTTTTTCAAAATCGATATTCGTTCACGGCTTATTTCTATATATTTTTTGTTTTCTCTTCACCATTTTGGGAGCTCCTTTCTGCCGTTTTTGGCTCGTTGTTGTGGGGTACAACTTCGCTTCTGTGTGTCAGTTCTAGTTAAGTGATTATTCCACCGCGAGCTTGCGATCATTGTGTGTTATATTGCAAGTTAATTTTTTCCAGTCTAGTTTTCGTAAAGTAGTGCTCGTTTTAGTAAATTTTTGCTGCATAGTATTGACATTTTAAAAGCATGTTCTCCGCTTTATCCTTGGCTAGTTTTTAGGTTCTTTAAGCCTCAGTAGAACAGTGAATGACAGTTGACTTGGATGTTCGAGGCCTGTGGTTCGATTCGAAGAGAGGGCGTTTTTTTTCAAAACTCATTAGTTATATGTACTGGACATTAATTTTTTTTTAAAGCTACTGCTTGGCCTCTGTGTATCAAATTTCCAATGTGACTATTTCGGGCAGCTTTTTTGGTTTGAGTATATCTTGATTTCTTCTTGTTTCTATACTCTGCTTTCAATACTATTTTTCAAAATCTCTAAGGTTCTATATTTTTCTAACTCTCACTTATTAAGAGTCACTGAAGGTATAAAGATTCTAATATAGGTCTTGTTGATTTTTTTTTACAGGAATAAGTCTTAAAATTCTCTAATATGCTCAAGATGTGCATTCACACATCATTGTATTTATGAATGCATTAACGTAGAGTTGAACTTTTTGAGTTCAGTGCAAATTCATTTTCTAAATGTTAGGGGAAATGCGCTCCCATGAACAACTTCTTTTTTGAAAATGGATTTTAATTTTGGATTTTCCAATAGAATCAATTTTTTTTATCTGTTGATCAAGTTTTCTCTAATTGATTCATTTATCAAAAAATTTTAAGCATAAATTCGCCTTGAAATTCAAAGACCATCAAGGCCATTTATTTTTTAAATAAATAAGTCACTTTTTCTGTGATTTGCGTTTATTGACTCTTTTCAACTGTCTGTTGTCGATCTTTTATTATTTGGGGTAAGTTAGTGTTTGATTAAATTTGACAACACCATAATAAGCTTACATGTCTAAGTTATTGATAAACATTCAACAGAGCTTGTATAGCGTTTTATTCAATGTTTTTCGACGTTCTGTGATTAGTCATTTTAAAAACAAATCGAGATCTTTCGATTTTTAAAATTAGCGTTATTTTGCTTAAAATGCTAATGCCAATGTTGTCGCACTTATATTTTCGAATATCATTGTGGTGATCTCTCATTTTCAAGTGTAAAAAACCAAGTGATTTTCATTTATAAATGTTTTTATGAGTTTGTTTATTTTTCATCAAGAAAGTTTTTTTTAATTTTGTCCACGTTCAAGTTTGATTTTTCGCAATTTGAGTTACGATTTGCTTTTAAATTTCAATTCATTCCCTTTGTTAAATGGAGGCAAAAGTTGAATGGTCACGAAGAGTAAATTTTTAGAACTCCCAGTGGAATAAAAAAAAATACATGTTGACCCAGTTTCTTTAAACGTGGTAACTTGAAGAAAAACGTGCAAATCATAAACAGTCTTTAAAATTCCATGTGATATGTTTTTTCTAAAAAAGTTTTAAAATGATCAAGCGTTGTTAATCAACTTTTTTGCTGTTTCCTTGTTTTTTTTACACTTTTCCCACTGTCTGTGGGCTATTTTTTAAATGCATCAACAAAGAAATATCCTGAAACGGAAAGGGCATTATAGTTAAGGTTATTAAGAGTAATGAAGGTAGTGGGTACTCTTACATAGGTCTCGATAGTTTTTTTTCCAGGAAAGTCTTTAAATTTGTTCACGCTTAATTTTTTTGCGGTTTGAGTTTTGATTTCTTGTAAGTTCAGTTCATTTCTATTGTTAAAAGGAAGGCAAATTCCACTATCGGCGAAAAATATGATCGAATTCTAGTTTCGAAAAAAGAATTTAATTATCAGATTTCTTAGCGAAATAAAATCTATGTATTGATCCAGTTTTCTCAAATTGGGTTAATTTATGTAAAAATTGTCAATTACAAATTGTTTTAAAACTTCAAAGAGGCTTAAGGCCATGTATTTTTTTCTCCGAAATTTGAAGGCTGCGATTTTGCAGTTTGAAGGCTGCAAAAAAGAAGTCAGTTTTTTTTCTGTTTCTTTGCGTTCATTATTCTTTTCCAACTGTCAGTTGACTATGTTTAAAAAAATTGAAGAGCAGATAAAATCCTAGAAATAAGTGTTTATTCGGCTTGCTGAAGCTCATGAAGACTCCAACTCTCTGTTAACGCTATCTTGTTCAATTTTTGAAGATCGTTTTTCAAAGTCATGTTGCAATCGGAGTTTAAATTTCGTTCTCCAGTGAGCTCCTTCAGATGGTTTTGTGTGATTTGTTAATATAAAAACCTCGGTATCGTTATTCGACATGCAATGAAAGTATTCCCAGTTTTGAGAAGCGGTTCGAGGATTTTTGCTTTGATTATGAATGATACCAAAAAAAATCTAATGATTTTATGCAGCGACCTTTTTAAACGTGTCAATCAACGTAGAGTCATTGACTTTTTTTCCAACTGTCTGTTGGCTATGTTTTTAATTGTTCCGACTTGACGAAGTGGGAAGGAACTATGGACTATAGAGGGGTGTCCAAGAATGATCTGCATTAAATCCCGCGGTCACAGTATTCTGTGCTTCTTGCACAGCATGTGATTACGTCGAATATTTTGGCAATGCTTGGTGACTAATTACTTTTTGCCTGTTTGAGGTTAATCAGTGTTATGTTCTGGCTTAGGTATGCGCATGACTGGAGATACCACAAGACGGAACGAATGTGGCTAACACGGGCCCCCGGGTACCAGGCCCAGAAGTTCGACCAATACGAACAGGGAACTTATCTGTTTTTCGACCCCAAATTGTGGAGAAAAGTTCCTAAAGACTTCCGACTGGAGTACGAGAAACTGGAGGACAAACCTCAACTGCCCAACGCAAACAATTATCACCCGGCACACAGTCAAGTGCATTGAGTAGGAACGGGACAGCTAAGACTGCAACAAACATTTATGACATCATGGCACATTGCGCAACTTATTACATCACAAATTGCGCAATAAAATGACGACGACACGAGAAGAAACTGAGGCTGCGATATTTGAAATAGAAATCATCTCTTCCTGCATCGAAAATCACTCACTGCAAATAAAAACTGTACTCAATTGATAGCTTCTATGTACATGTACCTTTGATCAAAGACGGCTTCCTCAATTAGCATCGAACTGAACTGTCTGCTGATCTGATCTGACCACCTCATTATTCGGCGGTTTTTTCTTCCATTTGCTCAGTTACGAGAACAGAACCAAACAAACCCCTGAACCCTTCCTTAAATGTCTCGTCCATTCGAAGCTTCAAACGTCTGGTGAGGCTACATAGAGTTTAATTTAATCACTTATTTTCGTCCATGTTACTCCCGACCCAAGCTCAAACCAGCGATGTTTATTAGTGTTCCACTTTACTTGGCCACATGATTCAAATGTCGTCAGTGGTTTCACTTCTTATAGACTGCCAACGCGTTTTCAATGAGCTGGGTTGTATGGGCACCTTGTGACTAGTATTAGTATATTGCTATTTATTTCTCCTCCTCTGCGGAGCTCGTCAATAATTCTGTTGCTAAATTACCTCAGTATCGCGAGTTCCTTTTTACTTTTCACGAGGTGCTGCCCCGCCAATTTTTATCAACAGCAACTCCTTCACTACTACATCTCCTTATTATGCAGCCAGAAATATCTGCATTCCATTGGCCATTTTAACATCTCTGTGTAGCGATGCCATGCACTCCCAATAGAGCGCTTCAGCAATATCAGAAACAGCCAGCCGAAATTCAACCACCCGCCAACCCAATCAATTGTTGACGATGATTTGATGAGAGTAAAATGCAGTTTTCGATCGAAGGAATCAGTTCAACTACTCGTGTCCGCTTTGTTTTCTTGGCTGTCTCTGGAAATACCAATGCGCGCCTTTATTTTGTTTTCTTTTTTGAATGGAACTCAATAGAACTTAGTGTGCAGTCGAAATATTAAGAAAAAGTATTCGAAAATTAAGCTCTTTTTCCAAATGAGTTTAAGTCTAGATATACCATGCTGGTTTACTTTTAGGAGCAACACGGTTGCTTATAATTTAACCAGTCTCAATATTGAACCATTCGAAAATCGTCCCAAAGTTTTAACCCTAAAATGGGGAAATTTTTGCTGGTCTTTTGTCATCCAAAATCAAACTATAAATTTTAGCCAATTAACTAGAAGAATATTAAAAGACATCATATTGTACCCTACAAATTTCTATTTACAGAAAGTTTGTCGAAATATATTTTTAAAGTCTGGTCTGCAGATCTTACTGTTTTAATTGTATGTAAAGAAAAACTTTTTTACGCTTGCAAAGCAAGCTTAATCAAATGGGAACATGGATTTTAAGGTGAGCTACTTGTTTAACTGAAGCGACGAATCATTGCTAACAAGACTCCGCGTATCAGGGCAACGCCTTGAATGTCCCGATGTCCCGACTACCTCTTAAGGTACTGAATAGTTCTTTACGCTTGCGATTAGCAAGCGTTATCAAATCGAATTATAGACTTCGTTTTTCGGGTTAACAACTTGTTTAACAGAATTACTTGTATCTTGGTTCATAATGAATTCAAATTCAAGTATCTTGGCTCATAACGAATTCAGCCCAAATTGCTCAAATTATCTTATATATGCCGTTTTGTATGCTTTTTAAAAAATCAAGATCTAGAAAAACTTTACCTATTGATCCAGTTTTCTCTACTTGGGTTCATGTTATCAAAAAAGCGCTAGTCATAAATAGTTCTAGAAATTCAAAGAGCTTATTGGACGTCTATTTTTTTTTTCGTTGAAATTCGAAAAGTGAGATTTTTTTCTAAGTAAGTAAGTGTTTTTTATGTTTACTTGCATTCATTACTCTTTTCCGACGTTCATTAATCTATTTGAAGCACCGCAGGTGCGTTGCACGCTTGTAAAATTTAAAATTGCCACTGCTAAATTGCCGCTGTTTTTTTTTCGGCTCCAAAATTGTCAAAAATACGATAATGAAAAATCTGATGGTGCCAAATTGATACTGAATTCTACTTTAGTCAGGCTTTGATGCTATAACATTCCCTAATTCTATAGTTAATTAATAAAAATCTCCAATATTGACGTCCTACAATTGAACACCATAAAAACTATTACCGTAAACTTTGACTTCCTGCAGTCTAGTCTGCCTGCGTGATAAATTGAAACCAAACTTAATCCCCTAATAAACAAGCATGTAAACTAAACTAATGAATCTCGTCTCCATGATAAAACTAAAAATGGCGCCTGTGGATTGAAAATCGCACAGGAAAAATAATTGGTTTTTGATTAATTAATACTCTTAAACAGTATTAACTGGGAAAGGTTCGTGTTAAAATTTAACAATACTGCTCGTATTAGCGCGAAGTCTTGAATGAGACTGTCCGCTGACGGCAATCGAAAAAAAATAGGTTAAATTTTTTTTAATATTCAAGATATTGAGTTTATTTCCATTTTTTACGCTGGGTGAAGTAAAAAATGAAATATTTTACTGTTTAAGTCTGCTAACGTATTTTTAACAGCAAACTGCTTGCTTTTTTCCCCGACTTTCGTAACGAAAGTATTGGCATATTTAAGCTCTGGATGTTTTTTTAGACTTTTTAACTAGCCATTTTTGAATGATTTTTTCTATCATTCAAAAGGTATTGTTGTCCTGAGCTTAAATTTGAAAAGATATTTTAGCTGTGATCGTTTTTCGTTAAGTTATGAGGCTTTAAAGAATGCCATGTTGGGCGATTTGGGACTATTAACGGGACAATATTTTTCGCTCTATTAACGCGTAAGCGGAGAGTTAATCCGTCTCAGAAATCGTTCGAAATTGGTTGAAAGACGCTTATTTGCCATAATTAATTAGTTACTAGCAGCGAAATCTATCACTTTGTACTTTATATGGCGTGTGGGGGAATGATTGTCACAAAAAATCTCAATTTTTAAATAATTTTTTTTTCATTGTAGTTTATTACAGTTAATCTATATCTATCTATACTATATTTAAATGAGATTGACAGCTATCTCCCATTTTTAAGCATAGTAATTTTGAATGTTTAACGAAAGAGTTTTTCATGTTTAAGCAATATCATATATTGCAAAGCTGAAGAATTTTCAGTAATTTTTTCTGTCTGTCTATACCTGCTTTTTTCATTAATATCATTATGTCTGTCAACCCGTCTCCTAATTTTTAAACTTTCATCTATCTATCTATTATATATTTAAATGCGGGCTTCACTATCTCGCCATGTTTAGGCTTTTTCAACGTATTATTTTTGCATGTTCTATAAAAAAAAATTCACGTTTAAGCTATATCGTATATTGCTATGGTTAAGATTCTAGAAAATTTAATTTCAAAAAATGTTTCTCAATTTTTGAAATTTTCTCTCTGTAGTTGGGTGCTGTCAGAGTTCTCTCAGGGGTTGCGAATCTTGCCTCCAAATCTCACTTCTCAAATCCTTGTTGTTTTCGAGATATGACGTTTTTTATGATTTTTTCAAAAAGTTTCAAAAACTTAGATTTAAAAAAATTCCAAAAGTTGAGGATCTCATTCCTGTTGTTGGATATTGTGAGGGTACTCTCAGGGGTAGCGAATTTATCTCTGATTATGGCTGCCCAAATTCTTGAAGTTTTCGAGATTTGACTCTTTTTTATGACTTTTTTTAAAAATTCAGAAAATTTTTATAAAAAATATCACAAGAATTGATATTCGCATCTCTGTGGTGAGATTTTGTCAATGTACTCTCAGGAGTTGCGAATGTTGCCTCCAAATATGACTGCTCAAATCTTGGTAGTTTTCGAGATACGACGTTTTTTATGACTTTCTCCGAAATTTTCAAAAAAAACTTAGATGTTAAAAAATTCCAAAACGTTGAAGATCTCAATCCTGTTATTGTAATCGGTCAAGGTACTCTCAGGAGTTGCAATTTTTGTCTCCAAATATGACTGCTCAAAATGTTGCACTTTTCCAGATCTGAAATTTTTTGTGCTTTTTCAAAAAATTTTGAAATTCCTAACCTGTAGTTGGGGGCAGTCAGAGTCATCTCAGGGGTTGCAAATTTGGCCTCCAATTAAGAATGCTCAAATCTTTTTACTCAAAGAGATGAGTCGATTTTTGTGATTTTTTAATACATTTTCAGAAAACTCAAATTACAAAATAGTACACTAAAGTGAAATTCCCAACCCTGTAATTGAGTGCTGTCAGAGTACTTTCAAAGTATTGCAATCAAATAAGACTGCTGAAATCTTGGAAGTTTTCGAAATGTGAATTTTCTTCTGGTTCTCAAAAATACCTGAAGTTTCTCCAGATTTGAATTTCTCAACGTTGTAGTTGGGTACTATAAAAGTACTCTCAAAAGTTGCAAATCTTGCGTCTAAATGCGACTGCTCAATTGCTTTTAGTTTCCCATATGTGACGTTTCTTAGTTCATTTTAAATTTTTTTGAAGAGCTTATAAAAAAACTTCAAAAATTTTCATGGTTCTCCAAAATTTGCTTAGAAAAAAACTTGAATAAAAAATTTTGCAAAGATTGTAATTACGAACCTTGTAATTGGGTGCTGTCAGAGTACACTCAAAGAATGCAGATCCTATTTCCATTATAAACTGTTTTTTATGAGTACCGGAGGTTGCGTTACACGCTAGCTTTTTTAGTTTTATTACTGCTCCATGGGCCTTGAAAGACAGTCAGGGCTTCGCATTGATACGAGCAGTCCTGTTCAATTTGGAATGCTTTAGCTTGCCGCTTGCTCTTTAATAGGTTGAAATACATCGCGTGTTAATTGTTCCAACTTGATTGATAGTTACCAATAACTCCCAATTCAAATCATCGTAACTCTGTCAAAAATGAACCAAGGTGAAACATATCTTTATATTTGTTTATTGATAATCACAAATTATGATTCAGTCTACGCTTCATCTCAGTGTTGTCGAAAACGATTATGTTTGTTCGTAATTTGAAACAATAATCGTGCGATTTATTTCGTGCTATTAAAAATTTTTCACACGTAATCGGAGATTTAATCCGTCTTTAAATTTTTTCTTAGTTAAATGAAAGCATAAAAAAATTAGCATCAGTGTTTGCGTATTTGAAGTGACTTGAATACTTGTACTGAAATTTTGATCTCTTTGACGGTTTCTCTTCTGGTGTATCTAGTCACGAATCTCTCACTCTCCATGAAGAACTAATTCAACCGTAAAACACATGTGAGTCTTACAGAGATCCTAAAAGATCAGAAAAGCTTTGAATCGACTTTTTCAAAAGCTTTGAATTTAGTTTTTTAATTTAATGATAATTTTCATATCTTTGAGTTTTTTCATATCTTCAGTATTCTTGAGTTTTTTTTCTATGAATATTGAGTAATTTTTTATATTTATCGGTTCGGTGTGAAGCAAATTCTGAAAACTCAAAGATAATGTAAACTCCATATTACGCGAGTAAGAGTCGATAGATGCCAAACACATTCTTTTAGTGCTTTTAAACAAACTTACACTACCTTTTTTGAATTTTGTCATCATTTCTTAATTGTCTGCGCTGCAAGGCTTGAAAGTGTACCTGTAACATATAAATAATGAGCCTGAAAAATATGACTTCTCATGACAAGGTTACAAAGCAGTGTTCAGGCCACCGTCACAAAGGTTACAAAGCTGATTCAAATAATCCTGAAAAAAGCTTAAATTTGAAACTTAAAAGGCCTTTTTTTGGTTGGCATAAGGTGAAAAAATATTAGAACCTTCTTTAACAGAAATGAAATGGTGCAATTTGTTCTGTGAAACTCTCCGACTTTTTACCCCAAAAAAAGGCCATTCGGCTTTTTAAATCTATCAAAAAAATTTTCCGCAACTATCGGTTCAATTACTGAGAAAAAACAATTAAAGTGAGCCTTTTATGTAGCCGCCCAACAAAGTTTAAGAAGGGTAGAATCTCCAAAAATTGGAGCAAATGGACTAAAAGTTGTTTTAATTAAACAAATGGTAATTGATATA